TATTATTTCAAGATTTAAATGCACAAATAGGAGTGCCAGAAAGTGAAATTTAAAAATAAATAAACTAAAAAAAGGAGTAATCTCTGTACTCAGTACACAAAAGAAAAGCATTTTTTTTTTTTTTTTAAATTTTCCTGCGAACTAAATTTAGCAAAAAATTAAAATCACACAGCATCATCCGTAAATACTTTCCAAATTGTACTGTGTCTTCAATACGCAACTCCCGGAGCAGGGAATTACGAAGGCACTATGAATTTCTCGTTTGACCCAATTTCTGTTCCAAACGCATTTTTCCCCCCTTCTGTACCAGTAGCTAAGTTCAAAATTGTAGCTGTATCTATAGTAGCTATTTAAAATAGTCATCTATTATTTTGACTATTTGACAAAACCGTAAGCTTTGTTTACAAATCGTAGACAGTGTGATGCTGTAGAGGGCGGAAGCACTTCCTTTCATAGTGATTGGCTGAGTGAATTCCTGTACTAACGAGAAAAATCGTTCCGTGTGGACAAGTGAGCTCTCTCAGATATTGTCGGCCGAGAAAATCGCTACGTGTAGACGGGCCTTTAGAGGATCAAGGATGTCTTTGTCTCTTGTAAAGGAAAATCCATACTACACGTTCATCAAAATATTTTCTTTTTTCCTGCCTAAGGAGGACAGTTATTTGGAATTTTCTTACTTTCTTAGTCAGGCTATCTCTTAGAATATTGAACCCTCTTGCTGCATATCCTGTGATTTCCCCAGGCAACATGGAAGTAGCAAAATTTGTGCAGGGAATGCAATTTCCCCGTCTGTTTAACTATGCAACACGCTCTTTTCCTGTTCATGGTTTCATTTTGGCTTTTCTAAGATGTTTAATTGTTTATTTAGATCTGGGTTGGCATTACCTGTCCATATTTCTGTGAAATATGCAAGCATGTTTTTCCACCATTTTGCACACTCGTTGCAAAGCTCAAAGATGTCTATAGCTCAACTTCCAGTCCCATGAGACTAACTGCTGGATATTTTTCTAACCATATACCCCCAAATGTCATCAAGAAACAGCCTTGCAGACTGTTGTTGCTCCCAAAAAAGTTGAAACTGGCAAAAAAAAAGTTCACAAAGAAACACTAATTGGGTGCAAAGATTGCAAGGTAGGGTTTTGCCTGGAGCCTTGTTTCGAAGTTTATCATACTAAACTTCATTTCTAATAAATGTTTTGCAAGTATTTTGCATATTTTTATTAGTATATATGTTTTACGTTGTAGAGACATTAGGATTTTTTTTTTTTTTTTTTTTAAGTTGGAGAGATGAATAATTAGCAATCAGCTTCACCGGGAATTGAACCATGGACCTCTGGAATACCGGCCCAGCGTGCAGAACCACTACACCACGAAGGCACGCTCAGAAGGTGGGAGAAATACCTAACATACTCTCCCTTTTAAAGGGCGACTGGGGTTTTTTTAGGGGACCCAATCGCCAAATCCTGGGTGCAGAGAGTCATCATCCACAACCCTTTTAGTGCGGGTGCCACTGTAAGAGACATTAAGTTATTTCGAGGCCAGAGAGATGAAAAATTAGCAATCACCTTCGCCAGGAATTGAACCACGAACCTCTGGAATACCGGCCCAGCGTGCAAAAACCACTACACCACGAAGGCATGCTCGGAAAGCGGGAGAAATACGTTATAACATTAGGTATTTCATAAAATAAATCATAATTTAACCAAGATTAATTTTAAAAATTTTTCTTTTATATAACTTTTCAGTGTTCAATTTTTGGACAGCCTTTATGATTCAGTTCTATTTCGAAATATGTAATAAAAATTATGTAGCTAGAGAGGGTTAATAGCTTCATACTGCCCCAGCCATTTCTTTGGAAATGTTTGGTGCTGACGTGAGATTAAAGTTGTTGTGCATGGTAGTTATAGTTCTGAGTGAAAAATCTACTTTTTAACCACTTATCCATTTTTGTTAAATATACCTGACGTTCAATAACTCTGAAAGAAAAATATTCTGCACTGAAATAAATTTGGATGTAATATAACTGTAAACAAAGAGAGAGCTACATAAGTTACTTATTGATTCACTCAATTTTAAAACTATTATTAGCTGTTGATTGTTTTATACAACTTAATATGTTAAAGCAGGAAATGGAGCTGCAACATGTGTTGACTGAACAATCCATCATTGTGGACAGGGTTAGTTGCAACAAATTGTTACATACATGCTAAAATATAGTGGCTGCCATTTGTTTTTTATACAGCTTGCTATGGCAAAGCAGGAAATGGAGTGGCAACATACAATGACTAAATAACCAAGTATTGTGGGTTGCACTAATTGCAACCGATTGCATATTTTTCAATATCAGACATTTTAGTCAGTGATGGTGACATTAAAATTACAGCAGTTACTTTCCCTATCATTTAATTACAAATTTAAATTTTCTGAACACTTTTTTTTTACAATATTCATTTTCTGCCATTGTTGTTTTGTATACCTCTGAGTAAACCATTGTATACATACCACATATTGGGAACCTTTATTTTAACCCTCTGTGGCCAGTCTGGACACACCTAAAAGTTTCCTTCTGTGTGCACAGAAAAATTGAATGAAAAATTATTTGAAGGTTACTATAAGTTATTCTGAACCTTCTTTATTTATAGTAGTGGCAGCTCAACACAAACCAGTCCATATATTTTAGCCATGTTTAATTTTTTAAGACCCTCATTTTTCAAAGAAACCAGTTTTTTTTTTAGGGTGTAAAAGGAATTATTTGAAAGGAAATTTCTATGTTATTTTTTTGGTTGTATGATTAATGTCCTTATTCCATATTAGTTTTACAATTTTTACCTTGAAGTCTTGCCTAAAATCAAACGGCGAACCCTAGGTGTGCCCAGACCGGGCTCACTGCGAGTCTAGGTCACTAAGAGGCAGATGTATCTTTGTTTCTCTGCAGCTCATCGGTCAGCTCATTAACATAGAAAGGTGGGTCCACAGCTGTGTTTCATTTCCTGTTTTTCTCTTTTTTGGGGGGAGAAGGGAGGTTTGGTTATCAACTAAGAAATTTGTGGGGGGATTTTCTGAAGGTCAGGAATAATTTTATCAGTTAGCTATTTGGTTTTTCACGAGAGCAGTTCACTTTTTCTCTTTTGCTTTGGTTCAAAGAAGTTTTCTTAGCGCTTTGTTCAATAGTTTTGAGATGTAGACATTTATATTTTTATTTTGTAGCTTATAATTTCAAATTGTAGATATAATATTAGTTTTTTTTTTTTTTTTTTTGTATTTTTAATTATTTTCCAAATGGATCGGATAGGGCTGACCATTTCTAAAACACTGAAAGTGCTACACGAATTGCTTTCAGATAGTGAATCTGATACGGCTCCCAGCACATGAGCAAAACATGCAATATTGGGTTGTGCTTTCTTAAAGGTGGTTTCCCTTTCTTCGAAAAGTACCATGATGAAAAAAATAGACTAAAGTGTAAATATGATATAGCCAAGTTTCTTTTTTTTTCCCCATTCATAAGCATGTAATCATTATATAACCAAAAATGTGCTTTTTAGGGGGGTGTAGAGTAGCAGATCTCTCCGGGGACACACTTGGGTAATGCTAAATCTGCTATGGTATTCAGAATCTAGTGTTTTTTAATCGTAGCCAAAATCTCTTGCTCTTTTATGTACTTCCCAGCCATGCTCATTTCAGCACTCTTTTCGGAGCTCTATTCAATCAGTGTGCCCGCTGCGGGCACACACACAGAATTAAAACGATAAGTGCTATCTTTAAAAAATTTTACTTGTGTACTCCTGTAGGCCTAATTAAACTGCCTACATTTTTTTTTTTTTTTATCGAAATTCCAACTTTAAAAGGTAGTGTGCTGGAAAGGGTTAAAGGAATAAGTAAAGTACAAGGTATTTCCAGAATTCCTTTTAATTCAAACTTTAAAAACACCATCCTAGCTTAGTTTAACATGTTTAAGATTTACATCTAAAATGCCAAAAGGAAAATACTTTTAAATGATTTCTTTCAGAAAAAGAATAGGTTTGGCTGATGTAAAGTGTGGATATATTGTACTAGAAAAATAACAAGTATTTAAGATGAAAGCACGACTAGTTAATGTGATGTAGAGATATTAGGTTATTTTGATGCTGGAGACACAAAAAATGAGCGATGCCCTCGCTAGGACTCGAACCTGGACCTGTTAAATAGGTGCTAAGTTTGCTAACCATTACACCAAGGCATGCAGAAAAGAGGGAGAAAATGCCTTTTATACTCCATCTTGTAAAGGGCGACTGGGAATTTGGTGAGCCAATCGCCAAATCCTGGTGTTGAAGAATCATCATCCTCCACCTTTTAGTTTGGACATCACTATAGAGGCATTAGGTTATTTTGATGCTGGAGACATGAAAAATGAGCTATGCCCTCGCCGGGACTCGAAACTGGACCTCTTGAATATCCCTCGAGTGTGCTAACTGTTACATCATGAAGGCATGCAGAAAGGAGGGAAAAAATATCATATAGTGAAAATTGATATTAAATTTGGTGCTGATTAAAATGATAGAATTAATGTCATTATTTATTTATTTATTTATTTATTTTTTAAAGATTCCAGTACCTGATGTGATGTAAAAACAGTTGTGTGTATATCTCGCATGCTTTTAAATTTAGAATCTCTCCCACACAAAAATGTTATAGTAGTAACAGAATGTAAAGTTTATTGCATAAATTTAAAAAATTTATTGCTTTAAATGTAATTATTTTTTTTACACTTATTTTAATAATGTTCATGAATTTCAATGTACCTTATAACAAATTAGTATGTAAATTTTAGGCAAATATGAGCCAGTAGTTAACTGACAAGTTTCATTGTCTTGTGTTACTTTTTAAATGTAATATATTTTATTAAAAGTATTGTGTACATGTATATTTTTTATTTTTGGTATAATTCTGCATTAATATGGTAATAAAAAATAAGTATTAAATTTTTGAGATAGTACATTAACTTTTTTCCTTTAATTTTGCAGAATACAGCGTGTTTAGAAGATTTTGATCGCATCAAAACATTAGGAACGGGATCATTTTGGTCGCGTAATGCTTGTGCAGCACAAAACAGCTAAAGACTATTATGCCATGAAAATTCTTGACAAACAAAAAGTTAGTGCAATATGGTTTCATTTGCCCTTACAAATTGCATTAATATAATTTTTTTTTTATTTTTTTTTTTTTTTTTTCTTTTCAAAGGTATGTACTACTGTTAAGTGGCCAACTCAACTTTGACTGGCACATTACCAAAATATTTAAATTCATCCCAGAAGAATAGTAGAAAACTTTTAGTGAGAAAGAATTTGGAAACATGAAGGGGTATTATTTCTGCTGCATGTTTTACGTACATCCATCCTATTTCATAAATAAATCTATTCAAATAATAGAAGCATATTTGCCCATATGGTCATGCCTTCTGTAGTCAAAAAGTAGTTGCTTCAATGTAAGTTCTTATCTCGGTGGTCTTCTTTGTAACGTAGTGTGAAAGATATGTAAATCTTGCCATCTTCTGTACTTTAAGAAGATTGAATTATAACATGGTAATCTTAAAATTAAATGCTATGTAATTTTAGTAGCATCCAATAATTTTATACATTTGCCTTCCTTCGAAATTTCAAAAGTACCATGCTGAAGGAGTGAACAAAGTGTTGAACCCACTAAAACAGGCATAGTAGTCACAGCTAGCAATTTCTCTTGAAGCAAGTTCAATATAATGAAATGAACCTCAACTTGTAGTGAGAAACACGGTGCCATTAATGTTGTGGAAGCATCAGCCTAAGGGCCCCAGAAATTGAGAAATCAGCACTAGTGGAATCTCTAAAACTGTGAGACAAGAACTGGATTAGTGGAAGTAGATGCTGCAAATTCTTGAGTTATAGCCAGTCATTTAACTCTTCAGTAGATGTATCTGGATTTGGCAAGGCATTTAACAAACAGCTTTTGTGGAAGTATATAGTTATAGTGAAATATATAAGCCACTGAATAATTAGTGACTATTCTTGATTTGAGCTTTTCCTCTATCACTTCTTAATATTTTTTAGTCTGGGACTTTAAAGCCTGGTGTGTACCATGACATATTCTAATAATGTGTTATCCTCTCACTGGAAGGAAGGTGATAGTGCACCTATCCCATAGCAAGGTCTGCAACTTCTTATATGAAGACATGGACGCAAAAGAGCTTATGAACCATCTTAAAGCTTTGACCTTAACCCAATTGAATGTCTTTGTTCTAAACTGTGGCATCAATTGTATATCAGCCGTACCCAGTGTAATACTGCTCGTCAACTATTTGTAATTAAGGTTATGTAAATGCTGCTTACAACAGTAAAGTAGCCATGCTTTTACATCATATGATATGGACTTTGTTGGAATAAGAAATTTTGATGCAAGAGCACTTTCTTTGAAGTTCTGTGGGGTGCCTAGTCAAAAGGTATGGGTCATGATACCATCAGTAAATTCAAGCCATTCCATCTTCAGCCATGCAGCCCTACACCATTATAGACCCACTTTGGTATTAAGCTGTTGGAATTCAATGGCTTAAATCTGAATTTGTTTACTGCAAAACAGTGCAGGGACCATCAGTATCAAAAATTTTTAATTTGGTCTCAAAGCTTCATTCCATATGCTTTGAGTCTTAGCGACATTTAAATGTTTGCCTCTGTTCTGCAGTCTGATGAATTCTTCCTGATTACTGTTCTATTTTAGTCAAGCCTTTCTGATAATATGATATATGACTTTTACACAAATAAACCTACTTATGGCACAGATGTTGCTAGAGCAGACTTGATGTTTTCCATAATACATGTTTTATAAACTGAAGTAGATTCCAAGAAGAAGGTTCTGTTTACTAAACATTTGGATCCAATCTTTCTTTCTTTCTTTCCACCTCCTCATTTTACAACAGTACTTGGAATTTTTTACTGCTTTCATTTTCAGTCAAGTCATTCCCTTCTGCCCTTTACTAGCTATTTTCTGGCAAAATATAACCTTGTAGTTTAATGTTAGCAATTTGGGGAGAATATTTGCATGTCTTTGATAATTTTAAGACACGTTCTTCATACTATAAAATTTATGTTTCATTTTTACCTAACATAATAAGTTTTACAGGTATAGCAGTTTGTCTGAAACTTTGGTAAGAGTTTAACTTGAGTTCTAAAAATTACTGATTGTGTGAAATATTTTTTTTCTTAAATGTATCCTAAATATTATTAAAAGCTTAATACTGAAGTGTAAATTATTGTTTTTATTTATTTTTGTTCATAAATAAGAATATTTCTGTACAGATATGCATAATGATCAGTATATGCTAATTTTATGATCATTGCTGCCAGTTTATTAAATTAACCAAGAGACTACCAATGCAAGTATAGCCCCGATTTTTGTAATCACATTAACTATTTGTCTTGATTTCATAGGCAGCATTGTAAAAGTTATTTATTATACAAGACTTAAGAGCAGCATGACAAAAAGTATTCAGCCCCTGTTATACCCATTATCTGTAGTTTGAGGGCACACTCTTTTGCATTTATATCTCAGATGCCTTGGTCTTGCATTTGTAATTAATATTTATATATTAAGTCAAAGCTGCTTGCATGGCATTTGTTAGAAACTGCTTTTCTGTCATATTTTATGAGCTAACTTCTGGGCACAGAAAAGTGTCATTTCCATTGTTTATTATTTAGTTTGATAAAAGTTTTATCCAAAGAAGCTCTCGTATAGTAAAAATGCTATTTAAATAGTAAATGGCATTCCAGTAAATGAAAGAGAAACTTGCACCCTTAATATAACGAAAGTTTTAAATAAAATATTGGTAACATTTCAAAACTATGTGATTGATTGTAAGCATTATATTAGTGCCTGCACAAAACTATGTTGATACAAGTGTAATTTTTTCCCCCTTTTCCTTTGTGGATTTTTCATTGCATAATTTTTGTAGTAGTGTATTTTCTTCTTTTCAGCTGCTTAAAATTGTATTAACATAATTAGGAGAAACTGTTTTTCACCTTGTTAAAACAGCTGTAATGTATCACAAAAGTTATATTGCATGGTTTAATCAGTGTGATGATTGTCCGAATTATTTTTAGTAATTTGTGGGGGCGGGGACGAATCTTTAGTAGATTGTAAAAATTGCCTCATGTGTTTTATGTCCTTGTTTGATACTGTTTTTATTATATGAAGTGTTTTATGGGTATTTTAAAGTTGTCATTTTAATAATAATTACTATATATATAAAATAAAGCATTTAGAAGTAATCAGTTCATTATGTTTGTTATTTTAGGTTGTAAAACTAAAGCAAGTAGAACACACTTTGAATGAGAAAAAGATTCTGCAAGCAGTCAATTTTCCATTTCTTGTGAAATTAGAGTATCATTTCAAGGTGTGTATTAAAAATTATTGAATGTAAAGGAATCTGTCTGTTCATTCTAGATAGCTGTATCTCATATCATCATTTCAGTGTGTAATCATAGATTCTGAAAATCATTTATCCTGTGCAACAATTCATAAAATTTTCTGATGTTGATCATCATTACTTTACTCTTTATACTTTAATATACTCTTTAATATTGTCCATATTCTCTAAAATTCTTCTAAAAGTATGAAGTGGTGTTGAACTTATAATATATATATATGTGTAAGAAAAATAAAGACTATGTAAAAGATGAATTATAATTTAAATTAGCAGCATAAATTAATTTTCCTTCTGTATTCTGAAAATAGTAAACTTGCTTTGCACTGGGTCATTTCGAGACTAATCCATGTCTTATGACTCTTACATAATTCTGATGATGTAAATGGAACTAAAACTCAAACAACCAGTAATAATTTTACAGCAGAATTAATTATCCAATCAAAATGTTTTGAGAACCTAAAACTAGCTCAACTGATGTAGTATATCATCCTGAACATAACAGACAAGCTTTCTACTCTTCGACCTAGCTAGACTGCTGTTTTCTTATTGCTAATCTACCAGAAGTCAAGCATTTTTAAATGGGCACAAATAATGTGTCAAGTTGTTTGTGGCCACATGATGTTTACTGAAAACAGAATGAAGATTTAATCTGCTTAGACTGTCAATTTCCTGATCATTATGGATTAGCATTCTATACAATCAAAATTCTTTCTGTTTGTTATGGATTCAACCTTCTGTGTTCAACATTATGAATATTTAAAATCCCTTTTTCATTACAAGTGTTGGTTTGAATTGTGTATGATGGTATGAGCAATGTGTGTGCATAATAAATAACAAGCCATTCTAGAAGCAGGTTAAAAAAAGCCAGACAAAATATTAAATCTATTCCTTTTGCTGTGTGCTTTTTAATTTAAACAGCTTTATTTTGTTTGTCACTTAAATGATTCTGGAATTAAATATATTTTCAGAATAAGGTGATGGAATTCATTAACTGCTTATTAAAAGTAGCAGTTGTATTAATAAGATTTTTTCTTATTAACTATACTAATTTGTATAGAAGTTAATATTTGACTGAAATATACCAAAGTCGTTAATTTCATTTTTATTAGGCACTGTTTGGCATAATTTCAAAAATTTCCATACTTCTGTAGTTTAGGAAGATCTAAATAATAATAATAATAATGTGTCAACCAAGTACATCATCACTAGCAGTATGGCGATAATAAAAGGGAGATCTGATTCCTTCCAAAGTTTTGAAAGTAGTAAAGTAGTGATGATAAATGCAGAAGAAAAGCTGCATGGCATTGTGTGAAAAAATCATTCCAAATTTGTACTAGTCTTAGAATTGCCATGTTCTAGATTTAGATGCTATTTAGCAGTAAGCTAGGCATTCATGTGGAAACCCAGAAATCACTGCAGAATTCACTAAATTTAAGTTGGTTATGATAGTATAATGGAATTTTCATTCAAAATATCAAATAGAAGTGCTAGCAGACCAGATAGTTTTTGTGTGATGTAGCAAGTTTAAGACTAGCTGCATGTGTGGTGTAATTTTTTATTTATTGTTATGGATATTATATATTTAATGAAGCCTAGAGGGAGTTATGAATATACTTATATAATTACAGTAGAATTTCAGATATTCAGGGCTGCTGTCTGCTTAAATTGAGTCTTTATCTTAGTTAAAATATATATTTAGTGTTAAGTAAGAGAATAAATTTTATCTCTTGTAATATTTTATTTATTTCGACAAAAATCATGCAGTTAAGAAAATTAAATATAAGAAAATTGATTAATGTGAGTGAAATTTCAAACATCCATGTATTACCTTCAATTTCTAAGTACATGAAAATCAAGAAAGATACTTGGTTAATCAAAGTAGTCTGCCTCTGCATCCACACACTTTGCCATTGCTCTGTTAATAACTGCATAATTAGGGGGATTAAGAGTTTATGGTTAAAAGAAATTGTCAACTGCATGCTTGTCTTGCCATCAAAGAATTTTTTTATAACTTAGAAGCTGAGATGAAGAAAGGCATAATAATCAGCAGGACATAACGATAGGAGCTTATCTGAAATTGGTCCAGTCAATAGCTGTAGACTAATTTTCAAATGCTGTATTGCCAGCATGAAGTTCTGTATACTGCCGGCATATGATGCATTTATTAGTCATACTTAAGGCAAATGTAATTATACTGTTCCCCCCTTCCATATAGAATGCCCTGATTTAAACTCACATAGACTCTTGTCAACAGTGTTATGCCTGTTGATGGTCTTGATAGCACAACATGTCCTGTGGATTTCCAGTGATGTTAAGTTATAGCACACAGCTTCATTGGACTAATGAGATTGTGTGTTCAAGATACATGCAGTCAGACATTTCATTCACACAAATGTAATGTTAATGAATTATAAAAATGGCACTTTATCCACAGGGAAAGAACGTGCATCCAAAAAGATGTAACATGTTAATAGAAATAAAAGTTAAAATAAGTTAATAGAAAGCAGCTGATGTAGGAATTCCTTGCAAAGATGGGTAACTGATATAGTATCACCATCATCATATGTTTGTTTAAATCTATTTTTATAACAGAAGCCCTTGGTGCCATTGGCAGTTACAGATTAGACAAAAGGTCAGGAGGTCTACATACAGAATGCAGTTGCTTGTTATTAATGTTTATAAGCTGTACATTTATCAAATGTAAGTGAATCCGCTTGTGCCACTTCATAAAAAGGCATGAATTATATTATCTTTTTATGTCATTTAAATCAAAGTGGAAGATAAATGCTCATAAAGGAATAGCAAGCAAATCCATATAATTTGGAGTTCTAATGAAATTACACTGTGGAATTTGGTGCAAAGTTTAAATTTGACAGCTCTTCCGGTATAAAAAACGTTATATGAGTTTCTTTCTTTTAAAAATAAGTATTAAATATTGTTATAATTCCTTTCCGTGAATGGAAATATATAATTATCTCTAATGAATTTTGTTATCATTGTCTGAAATACAAATATTTGAAAAATGTCTGTGCAGGTGAGTCATTCCTGTTTTGTTCAAATTTGAAGTAGGGAAATAAAATGTAACGGACTTATCCCAACATATGTTTTAAATGTTCCTTTTCCTATATTGCTGTTAAAATTCCACATGCTCATTTTAAGGAGTTGAGGTTTTACTTTTTAGGAATATGGCTAATGCTTTTAATTTTCAGGATTGCTCAAACTTATATATGGTTCTTGAATACGTCCCAGGTGGTGAAATGTTTTCACACCTTCGGAGAGTAGGCCGTTTCAGGTAAGTTCATTGTGATTTAAAGAGTTATAACTTAAATACATCTCTCTTTACAGGATTTTTCTAACTTATATATGGTATTAGAGTATGTGCCAGGCGGGGAAATGTTTTCTCATCTGAGGAAAAGTGGAAGGTTTAGGTAAGGTGTATGCAGTATATGGGAATATGTGGGAGCATGCACCTTTTCCTTTTGCATTATTTCCTTTCTTTTTTTTTTCCCTTCTGTGTTTGTGTAGTCCATATGCATTAGGCATGTAGCTTTGGAGAAGATTTTGTTTAATATGCATGAATATTTTCAAAAGTATGTCATAACTGTCTTCAGTTTTGGGTACAGATGTTGCTCTCTATATTTGTAGTTCCCAACATAGAATTATAATTAACTTAAGATCTAATTCTGATAGTTTTTGTCTAATGCCTATGCATGTATCTTGTTTAAAATAGTGCATGAAATTTCTGTCAGAAATGATTATTTCTATGTGCTTAGAAAAACTTGAATAAATTAATATATTTTATTAAGTGTACTTTAGAGCTGATCCATGGTCTGTGATAAGCTAGTAAGAATAAAACTGTCTGTAAAAACTAAGAAATTCCACATTTTTTAATATTGTTTCTCCTCCCCCCTTTTTTTAATAATTACCATCTAAAGCCTTTAAAAAAGGTGTTTTCTTAAATTTCATGCACTTAGTTCTTTCAGCAGTGGGGCACTTTTTTGCAATGAAGTGTTAAATAAAGTGTTAATTCCATGCTTGTTTTTGCTTTTGCATTAATTCATTTAGTATTATGGATTGTGGCACATTTTCATAAGTAAATATTTTGTTCCCATCCAAATACATTTATCTTAATGCTTAGTTAGATTTTCATGCATGCTTATGATTTGTTAAAATACTCTATGATATGTATATTTTTCTTTTATTAATGTTGATGTATTTTACAGTGAACCACATTCAAGATTTTATGCAGCACAAATTGTTCTTGCTTTTGAATATTTGCATAGTTTGGATCTGATCTACAGGGATTTAAAACCCGAGAATCTTTTGATTGATCAGCAAGGTTACATTAAAGTAAGTGTTTCATTTTTATATTTAAAAAAAAATTACCTTTCACAAAACCTTAAATCAACTGTAAAGGGAATATGGGCTCCAGGGTGTATGATTATATTACAAGCAGGTATTTCAAATTTGTACTAGCTGCCAAATGCTTGTCCTTTTCAGGTTCATAAACCCAGTCAAACAATATATTTTTTTAGTGCTTAATGTGCTCATTTATTATAACTTTTCAGAAAGGAAGTTTCAGTGCAAATTAGCAGTGTTTATTCCTACTTCAAATATTAATTCGAAAATATTTTGGAAAGCTCGACTCATTAATTTCATATTAAAAAGTCATAAAATTGAAATTTGTCGTGACAAGAAATGAGTGACCTGGGTATATATTCAGTGCTTGACAGTGTTACATTGTTTTTACATTGTATTGGAGTTTTAGGGAGGATTCTGCATTTGATCAAATTAAGTGGTTACCATTGTATTTTATAGTACCAGCTAGTACAATAGTTCCTACAAGCTACTGTTAAAATACTAATCATAATAATAGAATATATTTACTCTAGTAATTGCACATTATAGTCACTGTACCATTACAGTTAATGTCAGATGTGTATACCATTAGTGCTGTTTGTATGTCCTATGTGATGATGAGCTTATATAATTTATTTTAAAAGAATGTTTGAATTCAAATATGCACCTAATTTTTTCCCTCCCAAAACTTGTTGTAAATGTTTGTCTCTGGCTTTTGCTCTCGTTGTTGCAACTTCATTTAAAAGGACGGAAATTGCGGAATATTGCATATAGTTTTTCATCTAATTTAAAAATAATAGTTATAAAAATCAAATTGCACTTATTGTGTCTTATAATTAAAATTTCGTTAAATAGATTTATTTGCGTTTAACTGAAGAGAGTGTAGTAAATCCATTTTCACTATAGTGACCTTTCATTTATACCATCCTTTTTCTGTAGTATGCAGTGGGTTGCTGTAACAAGTGTTAACTGGATGTTTTTTAAAAAAGTGTATGATATAAAATAATGTGTTGTAAAAAGACAGTATAGCAGAATGCTACATTGTAAACATTATTTATGTGTTAAGTTAATTTTATAATTTGTTTCCACTTATTTAGGTCACTGACTTTGGATTTGCAAAACGAGTGAAAGGTAGAACATGGACACTCTGTGGAACACCTGAATACTTGGCTCCGGAGATAATTCTTAGCAAGGTATGTGTAATTGTAATAAGATACTGTATTCCTGAAAAGAATTGGTTGATGTGTATATCTCTAAGCAGACTTCAAATTTAGCATAACCTTTTGTAATATTTTATGTGCATTAGCTAAATTTCATTTTCACAGTGCAATTTTTTTTTATTTTGTTTGCAAAGTACTTCAGTTTTTGTCAGAATTTAAATTTGTTCATAACCATCGTATTATTATATTTATATTTTTTGGTGAAAACTCTAAATTGTGTGACCATGAAAAAAATTCCACTTTGACCTAAAATGCATAAAAATTTTCTAGGGTTACAACAAAGCAGTTGATTGGTGGGCTTTGGGAGTGCTAGTTTATGAAATGGCAGCTGGTTATCCTCCTTTCTTTGCTGACCAACCTATACAGATATATGAGAAGATAGTTTCTGGGAAAGTATGCATTGCTTATTTATCTCCTTAGTGTCACCTTGCAGAAAAAATGATTAATTTTGGTCTTACTTTAATATTTCATGCTGGTGTTAAGGTAATGCTGGTGTAAAGGTTGATTATTATGTCCATTTAGGTTCGTTTTCCTTCGCATTTCACATCAGATTTGAAGGATCTGCTTAAGAACTTACTCCAAGTTGATCTGACCAAACGATATGGAAATCTGAAAAATGGAGTAAATGATATTAAGAATCATAAATGGTTTGCCACTACTGATTGGATTACAATATTTCAGAAGAAGGTAACTGACTATTTAGAGAATTATTTATGCTGCAGCTTCATTGTAATTTATATATAAATATCTGGCCTCAATTCTTTTATATGACACTAAATCTTAGTTTTGTTTTTAACATCTGCAAATCAAATATCAAAGCAAAATACTTGTGTATTTAGACTTTTGTTTTGCTTATAGAAGTACTTGCAGCTGTATTTACTAGCATTTTCCCCCAGCTTTTAAATGTATATAATTTCGAGACATTTGCTTTACTCTCATAGTATTGAAGTTCCTTCCTGAATTCAGAAAATGAGCATTTGCTGTCTTTTTCCTGTAGATCCCTTATAAACCTTTACCATTTATAAGGAGCTATAAATTTAAATTAAGTAGCCTAATAAGAAGTTCTACTTGTGCTTATAATCCAGTAGATAAGCAGTGACATTCACTGGAAAAGCAAAAAGAGAAAACTGAAAGCAGTATGTCTATTGCAACTTTTGTATATGTATAATCTAGTAATATTAGTACTACTAAGTATATATTTAGTATGCATATGCTTTTTAATCTACTAAGCTACCCCACTTCTCAGAAATCATATATGCCAATAATTTTCACTTCCAAATATTATAGGCTAATGAAATTAATAGAAAAAATGGGGACAAAATGGGCAGTTAACACATTTGCTGTCAGTCATGCTGATGCGTGATAGGGCATTATCACTGAAAGCTGAATCCATCACCGTCATGTGGTATGAGGTGATGTCTCAGATGCCAGTCACGCACTGATGCAGTAAAAGCAGTGTTTCATTTATTCAGTTCAGCTGGCATTGCGTTTTGAGTATGTATGCTGGTATTGACATGGGGTACAGGTTAGAAACTAGTTGTAAGTGCATATTTCAATTTAAAGCAAAGTTCATTTTGTGCAAAGATTTTACATAAATAGCATTTTGAAATATAATAGTTGGTAGTAATATCATTCTAAATATCTTTCAATAAATTGATTTGTAATATATTGTTTGCGATAGCTTCATAAAAAAATTAACTTTTTTTTTTTTTTTTTTTTTAAATTTTGATTTATTTTTAAATGCCACATATAATGTAGTATTGGGAAAATACTTTTACCTATAGTTCCAAACACTTAGTCTTAAAATTCATTGATTATAGGCTTAGAAATCAGTGTGAACACATAATCATGTTTCATTACCTTGATTTTAAATCGTATATCTTATAGTAAGTTGGCATGTGGATGCAATCTGCTTTTATATCAGGGCAATAACTGCCAACACAACCTCATATAACTAGCTGCGAAAGTGTTAAATACAATAATAAACTCTTACTAAACTGAGACAGCTGTTTGAGTGATGCTGAATAGCAGTAGAAATCATAGCTGCAATATGAAACTTTTTTCACAGTTTCATTCTTTGTAAATAAATGCATAATTGCTGAAGAAAATAAGTAGTCTAAGAATATTATATGTAAAAATTGCGAACATATACTTTTACACATTTTTTTTTTTTTTAATTTTTTTTATTTATTTGCTTAAAGTAAGTAGAAAAAAGGTACAAAGCTACATCTCCTAGCCAGTGACTAAGTTCAACACAGATGGTTTTCCCCTTCCCATGAGCTGCCTGCCAGTAGCAAGTGCATAAAACATTGATTGGTCACTCTAGGTTTTCTCATGCGTGGCTTGTTATGGTGCTTCATATTTATGATATAAATTGGCCCCTTTTCCAATGAAATATCCTCCACAAAGCCACCAGTTTTCTTAGCAGATAGTTATAGTATGTTTTATCATAATTAATCCAATCCATTTCTTGAAACTCGCTTAAAATAAGCATACTGCACTTTTTATTCTTTTTTGGGGGGGACTGTACTATTTGTCTGATTATCACACCAAATAGTGTGTCTTGGGTTTTAAGGTCTGTTTCAGTATTCCGAATCTGTGTGTTACAGATCTTAAATTCTTTAATATTTTAGTGTTCAATTAAAATCATGTCACTTCTGATTAACACATTATAAGGAAAAAATGCTGTAGTTTGCTTACTTTTTGTCAATGACCAGATTGTGCTGAAAAGTAATAAATATAAATATGTAGGATGTCGAAAATTAAAAGGAAAGTTGCTAATAAATTTTGAAAAAAGGCAAAATTATACCCAAGTTCCAAAATAAAGGAATTAGATTAATACTTAAGGAACAAATTAGATACGGCTGCTAAATTTGCAGGAAAAACTTCAGTAAGATAAGAAGAAAATAAAATATATATATATATGCATATAATAAGAAAATAAGATAATATAATAATAATAAAGTATACAATACCAAATAAGAAAATAATGAAGGAATTGAACAAGAATTAATGTAAAAATACATTGTATTTTGGCGAAAGTTTGTCGGTGATTCATGTTCTGTTTTTCTGAAATTTACATTATTCAACATTTTTGTAACTAATTTAATAAGTAAGTTAAATTTAAACCAAGTGTGGTCTGTAGAAGGGGAAGCTGTGCCACTAATTGTAGTGCCAGAAAAATTAGAACAATTTGCAATGCAATTTTTATGGTACTGCCTCAGGAGCAGAATTTTACTTTATTCGGTTTTATGTCTATCTTCAGTTGTTTCAGCTTTCTTAAATTTAACTCAGTAACTTAATTATGCAGGAAAATGCTATGTAAGGAAAATTTGAGGAATAAATTATGAATGTGTGCTTTTTCTGTGGAGAACAAACATATATTCATTTTCTATTTCTTAAATTTGCTTTTCATTATTGTTCTTATTTTACTGATGTCTTTAATTCTAGCTCTGTTGTGTTATTTGCCATACTCTACTGGATACCTTAATTTGTTTATTAGGTATTACTCTCACTTTATTATTCTAAAGTTTGATTTATTAAAGTAAATATAATTTTCACTTTCCTCAAATAGATCTGCAGTCAGTTTCTGAGTTTTATCAATCTGTCTATCAGTTTCTTACACAGTTTATTGTAATTCTATTATAGTGAATCAGAAAGAATCTAGCAAATTCTGTAATACTGAGCTAGTCCATTATACTCAGCATGTTATTTATATAGTACTTCAAATGCATTTTCAGAAGTTTTTTAAATTTAATTTTATCTAATTTGTTTCATGTCTGCTTAAAATGTATGTTGTCATACAAATTTCATCTGTTAAATTCATTATTTCTTTTTTGACATTTCATGAATTTTCATCTAATATGGCTTGGAAAACTAGCTCCTTATATTTTAAGTAATCTTAATTGATGTGTCATTAATAGATTACTAAATTTGATTTTGATTATTGGAATGCTTCAAAGTAAGGTAAATAGGAAAAAGTGCAGTGTCAATCAAATGTAGAATATGGATGACCCAGTTGCCAAATCCTGGTGGCGATGAATTATCTTCCATCACCTTTTAGTTCGGGTGTCATTGTAGAGTTATGAGTTTTTTTATGCTGGAATGGGAAAAATATGCAGTGTCTTTGCTGGGATTCGAATGCCAGACTTCCCAAATTTGCGCGAATGTCCTTCCAGTAACACTGTGAAGGCTTGCGGAAAGGAGGGAGGAAATATCTTATATGTTTATAATACTTAGCTATATATAATATGCCTAACATGACTTTTGTTTCACCTAAATGTCACAGTATCATCCAGATGAATATTGTGTAAGTTAAATAATGTTGAAATTATTTTATTCTTTTTTTTTATTAGATTAAGCTGTACATTTGCTTTCTTCCTAAATGGTTTAACAGTTCCCCCCCCCCCCCCCCGTTTTGCTTTAAAGCACCTGTTTTAATATACATATTCTTATTTTTCACATTTTCTGGTCCTAATGCATGTATGCTGTCTTCTTTCATTTCTGGTTTTATGATTTTTTTTATTTTATATTTTATTATTTGCATGCCTTTCTTTTCCTTGCATGTTTATTTAGATGAAAGCCCCTCTAATACCTAAACTAACATCGAAAGGAGACACTCGACAATTTGATAACTATGCTGAAGACAAAAATACATTCCGGCGAACTCTTACTGATCATTTTGCGTATGATTTTCAAGCCTTCTAAGAGCCAGCTTAAGGTTAATAAGTTCCTTTATCTAATTCTAATTAATATTAGAAATCCAGATTTAACTTTGTTCTGCTTTAATATTTCTATGAATAATATAATGGATCCTGGTTGTGCTTTTATTGAAATGTTTAAGCTGTACTTTGTGTTGAGAAATAGTAATTACTTGTTGCTATCATAAAATTAATTTACAATGCTGTGTATGTAAAAGTGTATTTTTGTTTAGTTTAATGTCCATGAAGAATGAATGCAGTCAAAATTTATCATTATTCATATTTTAAAAAAGTCTTTTTTTTTATTAATGTATTTTCATGTGCACTTAAAAAATTATTTTAGCATTATATAAATTCTGAAATGTAGGTGTGTATAACCAGTTATTACCTCTTTAATGAGGTCTGATTTAATTTCATATTTAAAAATTCTAATTTTGCTGCAGGTTAACTATTGGTTGGTTGTTTGATGTTAACTTTTCATCAAATAGTAATTCATTATCAAATAGAAGTTTATGAAGTATGTCTTGGCTTAAGATAAAGTAAAAGTCTAAAACATATTACTTCGTCTTTTGATTAGAGCTTCATATATAAAAGTCATCATCAATAATATACATCAGTACTCTCGCTTAATTTTATTTAGGGAAATGATCTACTTTTAAATTGTTGTTTCTGAGTTACTTTAATAAAAAAAAAAGGTAAACAAATGCCAAAAATTTTTCATTCGTTGCTTTTGGAGAAGTTATGCTATCACTGGGGAGGGATGAGTGAATATGAGACTTCATGGTGCATAACCTCATGTCATCGGCATACTTTCTCCTAGGCATTGGAAGGAAATAAAGAATCAAAATTTATTTTTAAATTTTAAAGGAAAAAAAATCCCAATTTTATAATTTAAAGCAATTTTTCTTTCCCTTTTATTCATATCCTGTACATCTTTCCCATGCATTCAATACATATCGCATATTTAAAAAAAATGTAATATAGGTT